GGAAGACCATCACCCTTGAGGTTGAACCCAGTGACACCATCGAGAATGTCAAAGCCAAAATCCAAGACAAGGAGGGTGAGTTGGGCTGGGTCTGGAAGTTCTGTCGACCTACTGGGAGCCCCTTGGGCCCGGGGGAGCCTTTGTCCTTTGGAGGATGGTGCTGGGTTTGGACAGACCCTAGCTCTGCCCATACTTCTATGTGACCTTGGGAAGAGAGATAGTTCTCTTCCTCGGTTTGCCTTTTGAGACATTGGGGTGGTGCTGGAGCACCCTGCAGGGAGGCATTGCCATAGCCAGTAACATGCTTGGCAGAGCCTCAGTGACTGAGCTTCCTCTCTCTCCCCTCAGGCATCCCACCTGACCAGCAGCGTCTGATATTTGCGGGCAAACAGCTGGAGGATGGCCGCACCCTTTCGGATTACAACATTCAGAAAGGTACCAGGGTTGGGGTCGCTGGACAGAGCCCTGTGAGCTCCAGGTCCCAGGGTGGAGCATCGATGGCCTCTGTGGAGTAGGTCATGGGTGAGGCTCAGATGGGCAGAGGAGCCCTGCTTTATAACTATTTTCTGTTATTGGAAGGCATTTGATCTTCACCTGTGTTTCCATATGCATTAGTTTCTCATGTTCACTTATTCTTTTTAATGACTTGTATTTTGTTTAAAAATGTGATGGTGGAAATTTTTATCATTGCTGTAAAGGAAATCATTGTCACTTGTCGGAGTAACAAGACTTCCATATCTTACCTGCATCACTTAGAAATTGCTTTGTGTGCTGGGAAACCCAGATGGACACCACGATTGGCATATATTAGGCTTGACTCCCCTGGGATTTGGGGTAAATGCTGAGATGCAGGTTCTGTAGAGCAGGCCTGGCTGGGCTAGTGTATCTGCATGTAGACTATTTGGGGATGCTGATGTGGTGTCCCTATCACACTTGAGGAACACCAGTGTGGAGGTCCCTGCCCTGTCACGGAGGTGCTGGACTCAGTCCTGTCCCTCTGGCTCTCTCCCACAGAGTCCACCCTGCACCTGGTGCTTCGTCTGCGAGGTGGCATCATCGAGCCTTCCCTCCGCCAGCTCGCCCAGAAATACAACTGTGACAAGATGATCTGCCGCAAGTATGTGTGCCCAGATGCTTGGGGGGCTGGGGCGCCTGGCCAGGTCAGGGTGTGCCCTCACTGGCCCCTTCTGTCCCTGTGCAGATGTTATGCTCGCCTGCACCCCCGTGCTGTCAACTGCCGTAAGAAGAAGTGCGGCCACACCAACAACCTACGCCCCAAGAAGAAGGTCAAATAAG